TTATGCAAACCTTGTTTGGAGAAGATATTTGAGTAGTCCTGTGTGTGCATGTTTTTAAACCCGCATGTACACTTTCTGACTAAACACATTTTTAGTGGTAGGGGGTGTTAACACCAGAGTGGCCTGACCAAATAGTTTTGACATGTGCTATATTACTGCAGCCTCTTCTTCTGGAGAGCCCCTCCCCACCCCAGCCTCTTTCTCCTTGTTTTACCTCTGAGGTTGGAATGGCTCATCGGTAAGGAACAAAATCTGTTCCGTAAGAAAAGTTGCAAGTAGCACCCAGGTTTTGATTGGCAAATACATTCAAGTAGTTTCCCAGCCCTTGGGCGCTGCACCCACTTGCATGCAAAAGTTTGTTTGTTGCAAAAGTTTGCTTGAGTATGCCCCCCCCCCCCGGAATAACTGCAAGACAGTGGCTTGCTGTCTGAAGAGTGTAGAAATAGAAATGGCTAGCGAGTTCCTATGTGGTCTTGTGTTGGGCACATGCAATTGGGAATGTGCACTAGGAATATTGGTTTGTTTGTTTGTTTATTCAACTTATATACTGCCCATCTGGCCTGCAGTACATATTCCTCTTCAGTCACGTCCCTTGCCTATGGTAGTAGATTTGGGGTAATGGGTGACATCCATGTCTTTGCTCAGTCGCAGTACAGATCTCTTTGATTTGTTGAGTATTTGCTGGAAGTTTTGGCTTCTTTGACACTTTGATTATTCTCAGCACCTCCCTGAACCCTTTAAATGACTTGTCTGACCCCCAGCCCCTTTTTTCTTTTTGCACTGAGCACCCTCTCATGCTGGTACAGGCTCTCAGTGCCTCCGTTCTTGCTCTGCCCTTGGAAACGAGGCAGGTGTTATGCTGAACTTTGTGGTTCCTTGGCAGGAGATCCCGGGATAACCAGTTTGAGTGTGCTCGTATCATATGTGCGTGAGTGGAGACCCTCGTAAGCTGGAACAGGAACTTACATGGCATGGAGAAGGTTCCTCCTGGACATATATGTCCCTCCCACCTGGGGGTGATCAGATGAGATGTGGCTAATGGTAGTGGCTGCTTCTGTCTTTGCTGAGGGGTTGTCTTCTGTTCCAGACACTATCCTGCGCTGAAGACCTTGGAGCACCTGGAGCACACCTACTTACCCCAAGTGAGCCACTACCGCTTCTGCAGGGTCATGGTGGACGACATTCCTAAACTGCGCGAGGAGATCAAGGAAGCTTCCATGTCTGACCTCAAAGACTTTCTGGAGAGCATCCGCAAGCATTCAGACAAGATTGGTGAGACAGCCATGAAACAGGTGAGGAGTGAGTCCGGAAGGGCAAGGCGGGCGGTTGCATCGTGGGCTTCCTTCTGTCCAACCGCACTGGCCGTGGTTGCTGTTTTCCCTTGTGTTCACTGATGAGCACTGAGATCCTGTATCCCTTGGACTCTGCAGCAGCCAACAGATAAGGGGGGAGGGAGGGATTTACAGTGGTGTCTCACTTAGCGATTGCTTCGTTTAACAATGTATTCGCTTTGCGATGGGTTTCTTTGAGGAATTTCCCCCATCGTTTAACGATGTTCTCTGTGGGGGAATTTCACTTAACAATGTCCGTTTTTGCTCATTTAAAAGTGTCTTAAAATGTTTGAAACCTGTTTTAAATGCTTGGAATAGTTAGTCCACCTTGTGAAACCTATGCACACTTAGTTTGGCTTTGTTCTGAGTCTTCGTTAATTTTTGGTGAATTTTTATTTCCCTCATTGAGAAGCATTGGACGGACAGTCCAATGGTTTTCAATGAGGGAAATAAAAATTCACCAAAAATTAACGAAGACTCAGAACAAAGCCAAACTAAGTGTGCATAGATTTCACAAGGTACACTACCAAATCCAAGCATGTAAAACAGGTTTCAAACATTGTAAGACACTTAAAAATGAGCGAAAACGGACATCGGAAATCCATTCAAAAGCACTGAATGCCATGTGTGTAAAACTCTTTGCTAGGTGGGGAGTCTTTCTGTCGTTGCTGTGTCTCATGAGTTGTGGAGACTTCGTGTCAGTGTTGCTGGTAGCTCGCCTTGTGGGGTAAAGCCGTGTTGTTGTGGGTGAAGCCAGATAAAAGGGCGCTGCTGTCTTGAGGGGCACAGCCGTGCTCTCTAGGGCTGCATCTTGCCAGCCTCTTTCCTGCTCCCATTAGGAATTCCCAAGAACAGTGTTCTCCGAGTCGGCCCTCTCTGACGGATCTCTCCCGAATGGCTTTCGAAGGCAGGCCATGATGGGGCTTCTCTCAGGGCTGCCGGTGCCCATGAACAACGGGTGCAGGTACGGAAGGTCTGGAAAAAAGGGCCTTTTGTCCTCTGGCATTCAAATACACCGGATTAAAATTATCCAGGCTTACCTGATGCAAGTATTTAGCTGGCTTGTTTATGGAAATCTTTAGTGTTTGGCATGAAAGCAACCTGGTTTCTGGAAAAGTCTCTTTTGTTGTGCTCACGGAAGGAGCTAATAGCTTTCACTTGTCTTTTGGTGCCCGGCTGGCTGGGAAGGCCCCTTTCCACAGAGGCGGGCCATGTCCAGCCCAAGCTGTTTACTGCGCGCTGAGAAGGCAGAGGTTGTGTGTGGGGTTTTTTCTCCTGCAATGCTTAGCCTGCTGGTTTCTGCCCGCTGGGATGTGGATTGTGCCAGGCCTCGGAAAGTCCCTTGCCAAGTGGAATGGTTCCTGTCTCTGTTTCTGATCACCCTGGTACCGGTAAAGGGGTCCTGTATGCAACATCCCTTGGCTCGCTGTGAGAGGAGAATGCCGCAAGGAGCCGGGCCGGGCCATTTGTTCCTTTAAATGATTTGTCAGCCACCCTGTCGCCTACAGATAGGGGAGATGTGGCCCTCTGAGGAACTTCCCGCCCCCCCCACCCCCTCGCCGTTAGCTGTGGGACGGACACAGATTGCAGTCCATGGATTGCAGTTATCCTCTCTTCCTGCTGCCTTCTACCTTTCCCTACGCCTGTTTCAGCTAGTAACTGACTAGGCTCCCGTTGGTAGACAGGTAAATTATTGGATTTCTTCCTTTATAATCATACCCCCCCCCTCTCTTTTGATCCATAGATTTGGTCTTGTTGACTTTCTGATTCACTTCCCCATGAATGGAAGAATCCCTTTGAATAAGGCATGTGAGAAATGAAGTCTTTGTAGGTGTTACAGCAGAGGTGGGGAATTAATTTCTGTGGGGGGGGCACATGAAAAATCTGAACTGTGTTTGGCGGCCGAACCGACTTTACTTAAAAATAAAATGAAACAATGATGTTATGATTGTTTTTATTTTAAACTTATTAATCTTCACAAATACTAAAGACTTTTTTTGCGGTATGTTAAAGATAAGCAATTGATTAACCTTAGACAAAAATCTATAAATGGTTTTGATTTTCAAAACTGTCAGTGGGCTGGACAGGAGTGGCTTGCGGGTTGTATGTGGCCCTCAGGCCGCACTTTGTCCAGGTCTGTGTTACAGGAAATATACAGCAAATAGAAGGCAAAGTTCTGCCCTTTCCTGCTTAACAATCAATCCTGCAAAATTCCTATATATTTTGGAGTGAGATATTTCTTCTTTGTTGTCTCCCACCAATGTTAATCAGGTTAGCTAGTTTTTTGTGCCATTTCTGGCTAGGAGGATGCAATTTTGATGCATGTTTATGTAGAGCTGTGACAGTAAACTTGGTTAATTGAAAGCAGAGTTTCTTGAATTTCACTTCACCAGCCTGGGAGAGAAAAGGATAATACAGTAGTGCCCAGCTTGACGACAACCCTGCTTAATGATGAGTTTTTTGTGATTGCTATAGCGATTGCAAAACGATGGTTCCTATAGTTTTTTTTTTTTGCTTTACGTCGATTAGGTGCCTGCTTTGCAAACCGTTTGTTCGCAAAACGATGTTTTTTCCAGCTCCGCAAAATGGCTTCCCTCCCTTCCCAAAATGGCTGTTTTCTGGACAGAAGCTTCGGAAGACAGCAATTTTAAACAGCTGATTGGAGGTTCTCTATGGGCGATCTTCGCAGGACGATGAGATATTTCCCCATTGGAATGCATTAACCAGTTTTCAGTGCATTCCAGTGGGGTTTTTATTCGCTTGACGGCGATTTCGCTTAACAGCGATTTTCCTGGAACGGATTATCGTTGTCAAGCAGGGCACCACTGTATAGGGCCTGAAATAGAAGTGACCTATTTGCAGCAGCTAAATCTGAGTCTAGTCAACTTAGAAGTACCAGGAATCCTTGTTCTGCCATCTTAGTGCAATTACGAGGTGTCCTTAACGCAGTTGGACATTTCTGGGGGCACAGTGGAGTGGACCAAGAATGAGATGATGTATCCTTACAGACTGTTGCAATGTATTTACAGGCTACCATCAGTCTGGCTCCAGAAAGAGTTATGACTCCCCCCCTCTCCAGTTTCACTCCAAGCACTCCAGCCTGTTTGCCTGGCAAGGTTTTTGGTCTCACTCTTCTTCCTGGATCAGGAACTATATATGTCAACCATTCCTATGTACATTTGGATAGCTTCTCTGTAAGGTCCAGAGCAGGTTAGGGACCACTTTCATCCACTGTGTTATCCATGCATAGCATCTTAGTTTTGAAGAGATGGAATTTGAATCCATTGACCTTGCCTGTCTTATAACTAGCTTCAGGCCCTGGTTTAGGTCTTCCACACTTGCCTTGTATGAGAGATGACAGGTGAGGGGCATTGGCATATGGAACCAGCAACAGAAATCTGATGACACTTTCAGAACTAGCTATTTGGCAGAAGCTTTACATCAAAGATGGAAGAGAACACAGAAGTCGGCCTGCTGATAACAGTCCAGACCTCTGAACAAGATTCCTTAGCAGTTGGAGATGTTAAGTAGGAGGGAAGGTGAAGATGAGGTACTGGTGCAGTGGGACAGAGAAGGGAAGGAGCCAGGGTGGGAAGGAGGGAAGGGACAGGCCAGCCCGAGCAATTTTGTCCATTCATAGAATGAGTTGCCTCCTGTTGATGCTTCTGGAGTGGGGTCATTGCCCAGGAGATACCCAGATGTATTCATGGTCTTTGGGGAGACTCCTTCTGTGTCATCCAGGAGAGAATGCCAGGACTATTATGTAGAAAGAAAGAACTAACTGTCTCTTAAAATGGATGGAATCTCAAGAAAGCCTAGACCCCAAACACGCAGAGAACTAACTGAAAATAAATTCATAGGCTACAGAGCGAAGTTGCCAGCTCCAAAGTCAAGCTAAGAACATGGGGGTCTTCATACCAAGAGAGTTCTTTGCGAGCAGAGAGAACACAAGGCAACTCCACACCTCTGTCAGCCCGGTTGAGGCCCTTCCATATGTACCCTGGAAGATGTGAAGCTAGCTGCTCCAAATGCTTTTGATGTTGCCCCGTAACTGGGTGAAAATTATATGGCATGCTTATTAATTGTACTGTGGTGCTTCAGGCACAAGGAAAGAAAGAAAATTCTGTTTAATTTTATACAGGTTATTGTGGGCAACATTCTGCCTCTAATTTCACCCCCTTTTATTTCATGGGGGACATTTTTCTGCACGAGATACTAACTCATCATGAACAGTGGTTTGGGGTAGAAGGGGGTTCCTTTAGAGGACCAGTTGCTTAGATGGAATTGTCTGGAGATGAGAACATTGACAATATTAGATGGGGTTTCTTTATGCTTTTGGCAGTCTTTCTCTGTGGCTGATTGTGGCTTAGTTAGCTGTGGTTTAACCTCTGCTGATCAGTGGGGGTGTGCTTTTGCTTGCAAGTTAAACCATCCAAGCATCTGGTCCCATTTTCCAGGACTCTCTTTGAATCTGTATGTTCCTACTGTGTGCACACACATGAGCCTGGAAATGTGGCATGCTGAGTTATTTTAATCATAGCAGGCTTGATGGCTGAACTGCATGGCCTCAGCATCTTCAACTCTTTCTGCGATTCATCTGGAACCATTCCTGGCCAAGAGTCCCAGAGAACTTTGGCTTTAGCGGTGCCATGTGCATTGGGAAGGAATGATGCTTTCTTGGTGAGTGGGCAGAAGCCGCAGAAGAGCAACGTTTTATAGACATTCCACAAACTTTTTATAGACAGTTTGCAAACATTGGCAGAAATATTATGGGAGTGGAAGTTTCCTTGTTCTGTACTGACAGTATTTCTGAAACTTCCTAGAGTTCCTTAGATAAACTGGAGCTGACCTTCTTTGTTCATCTCTTGAGGGAGTGGAAGAAAAGGACAGTGAGATTTGGGCTGATACTTTGGCCATAAATCAGCATGGCAGGACAGCAGTCTTTTTTTGGGGGTGTTGTT